CATTCCTGCCAGACAGCTCTTGTCAACAGCCTCTGTCCTCATTTAGGTCAGAGGATGCGGGGTCCCTTGTCCTCCTCCACCGGGAAGTAACAAAGCAGAGTGTGCACAAGACAGCTCACACGTGCAATGGTGGGTTTTGTGGGGAACTCAACAGAGGAATTGAGAACATGGAATAAAATGCACCATATAAAATACATGGTAATTGGTTCCTCTTTGCTCTGGGGGAAATTTCTGCCAGGAACTTACCAGCAAAAAACCTCCCCTTTGGATCTACTTTCCCATCGTTAAACCTGTTGTTGGGTTTATCCTGCTCGAGCTCCAGGATGGTGGTGACTGCCTGGGTGTCCCAGTCCAGAAAGGCAAACCTGGTCCCCAGGGCGATGACATAGCCCCCGCACTGCCGCAGTGCCACCGAGCCAACACGGGCATCTGTGGGTGAGAGGGATCGGGAGATGGTGAGCAGCTCCGGGGCCACCAGTCAGCCCTACCACTCCCCACCTCACCAAGGGCATCTGGGTTTGATTGGGACATCCCTGGCCTGGGAACTGCTGAGATGATGCCAAGATCCTTCTACCCTGGGATCATTAGCAGACCTCGCTGGCTTTATGTTCCTCAGATCTTTCCACCTTCTGGACAGACACAGCCATTAGAACTGTACCTTTTCCTCTGCACATCCCAAATGAAAGATGCCTTCTCATTTGGGCTTAGCAAAGGCAACATGCGCATGGGCCCTCCACACCTGAGCATGGTCCTCTCTGCTCAGCTGGCTCGGGCCACAGCGTCGTGGGAGGACAGGGCGTGTGGCCCCATGGAAAGCAAGGGAGCCCACCCTGCTGCAGGAGTTCTGCCGGGAGGGATGGACGGGGCAGACAGGGAAGACTCCCAGGATGAAGGATGAAGCGGTGCGTAAGGACTCTTACCCACGGACACGCTCTGCACCTTGTTGGTGAGTGGGCTCCAGCGACAAACTTTCTGTGAGTTAATGTCTACATAGACGAGTGCACTCTCCCTTTCTTCCCAGATGGGGCATTCTCCCATCCTGTTCTTCTCCTTCACGACAGATTCAATTTTGATGGAGGAGGACATGGTCTGAGGAAAGAGAGTTGATAATGGATTTAATGAAAAGCTCTCGTTGTGTGGATTTTTCATGCTTAAAAGCAGATTTTGTAAACAGCAAAGCCCTCCAAATCCCACATGACAGAGTGATTTAGGACGTTTCTGTGACACTTCCACTGCCTCATGGCTGGAACTGACCTCATGGTGCCAAGGTTTCTCCTTAGCAAACCTTTCCTAGGTGAGAGACTTTAAACGACAGCTGCTGAAGAAGCACCTGCCTCCAGGCAGGGAAGTGCTGGGGACACAGCCCTGAGCTGGGATCAGGCTGTCGGCTCGGGATCGGTGATCCTAAGGGTCCCCCAGACCATGGGGAGGGACCGGTGGGCAGCAGCACCAGTGGAAAAACACTTTTTGTGGAAAAACAAGGCTCTGCCTTATGAACACAGATGCATCGACTTGCTCCGCAGGAAGATGTGACGTACGCGCACCCGTAACACGGACGGCAGTTTGCCACTGAGCCCACTGCAGACCAAGTCCCTGTTCCCACACCGAGTCGTGTCAATATGCAAACAGCGGGGAAGGCTCCTGCCCTTGAACTCCTGCTGCTTTGTTTTCCCTCCAAGTGTTTCATCTTCATCAGCCCCCTCACCGCCCTAGCCATGGCTCCAACCCCTGTCGTAGACTCCAAATTTCACGCTGTGCCAGGCTGTGGGGTTTAATTACTCCAGTCTCTGCTTCGGGGGCAAAGCCGCCTATGAAGGGTGGCATACCCCGGCTGCCCCGTCCCCTCGTCCCCGTTGCAGCAGGGTGCCAAATCCCTCACGGTTGTGTTCAGAGCCCACCTATGCCCTCCAAAACAGGTAGCTCGGCCCCTGGGCCTGCCCTGCTCCTGCTGTGGTGTGGGGTGGGAGCCACGGCCTCCATCATTCAGCTCTTACAAAAGAACGCGGCCTACTCCCCGCCTCGGTCCCGCCGATGGAGTCGCTGCCCTCGCCGGCCTCCGCACATTTTTTCCACAGATGGGAGAGATATTTCTTGGGAGGCAGCCAGTCCCTGACATAACACTATTCCTACGGATTACTGTCTTCAAGCAGGCATTGTTTCCTAGTAGGTGAGCTGGTGATAAGGTTTACAGATAATTAATTAGCACTAATGCACTTCAAAGTAGGTGGGAAGAGCCAGTAATAAGCGTGAGTGGAAATGCCAGGGCTGGGGACATGGGATCTTCCCTGCTCCCTGGCCCCAGGCATGCATGACAAGGAGTCACGCAGCCAAGGTAAGGTCCAAACACCCCGTTTTTCAAATACATCCTTCTCCCTACCAACAAAAACGGCCACGAGAGGCTGGGCAGAGAGCCAAAGTGTAAATGAGGATACACAGCAAGATGCCAGTAAAACCTCCTAAAACCTGTTAAGCTGTGCTCGAGCTGGAGGAGTGAGTTTCTCTTGGGTTTAAGTTTTGCATCACGTGGCTGCCGAATTTGGGACCCAAGGCTTGGAGACACAACGCTGACTTTATTGTATCGTGGTGTGGAAGACACAGAGCTGCTCTCGCCCCCGTGGGACAACGGGGCTCGGCAGCAGCCCGGCATCCCCGCGGCTCCCAGAGAGGCACAAAGTCTCCAGATCTGCAGCAGCCAGTGTGTATTTGTCTCCGTGGTTCCTTCATTGACCCAACCGAGCTTTATTAAACCTTTCTCTTCCCACCAGCTCCTGTCTCATTTACTGCCCCTTCTCCAGCTTCTCCAGCAACACAACAGGGGACTGGCAGATAAGCCATCTGGTGAAATACTGATTCACAGACCCGTCCCACGCGCCCCACGAGGAGTACGCAATCGCACCTTTGCCAGCTGTTTCACAAGGGGCAGGCAGGGGAGAAAACAACCTGCCTGCACCGGCTGGCCGCTACCCCTCTGCCACGATGCTGCGGAGACCTGCCCTGTCCCACGGAGCCTCAGCGCGCGTCCGCCTTCCCCGGCTGCGCACCCAACCTCAGCGTCTCTCCCCTCCACCAAACAAACAGCGCCCATGTGTCTCTCCAGCTGTGGGGATTGTTTTTTTTTTTCAAATAGCTGAATATTTTAGCTCAAATTTCCTCCCTGTTTTTAAGAAGAGGGCAACTAGAAGAGATTTATGCCTTGCTGGCTGAGGTTTCACTAATTTTTATGAGCAGCTGAGAATGGAGGCTTTTAACAAGAAGGGTCATCCAACCCTACGAGGCAGCACTGCCCTCCAAAAGAGTCCCCACAAGCTGGCAGGGATGCAGCCCCCTGTCCCCCCCATGCCCAGTGGTCCTCCTGCGGCACCCTCCCTGCCGGCATCCCATGGAGCTGCATAGTAAATACGGCATCCCAGAGGGAAAAATGATGAAATGATCCCAAAAAGCCTTGTTCAAAGCATCCCGGCTTCATCGCTCCCCAGGCATCCTTCTGCCTGGCACCTTTTTGTGCAGCACCTTGCACCCTGCTTAGCGCAGCGCTGACTCATCAGAGATGAGCGTGCAGGGAATAAAAGAGCAATTCCAAGCAGAAGGCACGAAATCCTGTTGCATTCTCCCCAAACAAAATCCCACCACATTCTCCCCAAACAAAGTCCCTGTGGGTAAAAACATTACGTTCACCCTGCCTGCATCCTCCCTGCAACATTTTGTTGGCATTCTATCCTCCTGGACTCGTGCCTAAACCCCCTACGGAGACTGAGGGGCTGACGGGTGTCACTGAAACATTTTCCAAGTTAAACTGTTTAAAGTCACCAGAATTTGCAGACCATAAGGAAAATTTCCTGTTAGGAATGAAAAACTAACATAAAAACATCCAGACTGCCCTAAAAACTAAAACCTCTTTCTGTTAGCTGTTTGAAAATAGCCTTTCTATCCTCAGTCCTCATCCCTTTTCAAATCATCTTGACAAAAATTGGTTCTTTTGGTACTCCTAAGATACAGGTAAAATAGAAATTAATGACCAATCTTAAAAGGTTTCTTTGCTGTTTCTCTCCCCCAGTCCCCCATACAAGCACACATCACTTCACTTTTAATTGCAAACTGAAGCTTTGAATAAGCAGGCAGACAGCTAAAGCTTTTAATGCGCGTACAGTGAAACAACTGTCTGTGTAAACCAAGACATTTTTAAGAACCCTTTTCCCGCAGTCAAAGAGCTGAATATTTGTACCAAGCTGGGGGACGCCTATGCGAAACTCTGCAGTTCATCACATCAACACACCTGCTGAGGAAAATATTGCAAGACCTGGGTTGGTGTTTCTTTTCCAGCGCCGGTCCAATGAAACCGTCTGCTGTTTTCGGCGACGATTAAAAATGTGCAAGAGTTGATGTTATCTGCAGCGAGCAGGTAACCTTTCACATTCTGTATTCAGTCAGCAGTCACACGGATGACGAGGCACGGAGCAAAGCCCTTCTGAATGGTCTGGTTTGTGGTGCCAGCAGCAGAACATGTGATAGGGAAAAATCCTTGCTCAGTAATTTTCTCATGTCATGAGAGATGGAGAGGGAAAACAAGACATTGCACCATTCAGTTGCCCAGACGGCTAGCCCAGTTTTCCCAAATTTAGGGGCAATGAACGTCTCAGGTGATGAAAAGGGGAGGT